TCTTTCTTTGGACTCTCACGAACAATGTTAGCACTACTACATTGGAGACGCCAGCTCGATTAAAATGATCACCATGAAAAGTAGCTGGTAGTCTGCCGGGATAGTTGTCAGGCATTTGTTTCAAAGGTTGGCTGCATCTTCGATTCCTTTTGAGGATGATTTTGGTGAAATTTGTAAGGAAATGAAAAATATGAGAAGCTCAGTGAATCTTGTCTATCGTTATATACTTTTAACTCTATCATCTTAGTAGTCTTCTTATCCTAGGATTTATTATTATCCCCTTATAATTCTGTTGTCAGTTGTGCAAATTGCGAGTTGAGTTTGATATTTCAGCAACAATTAGGGTTCAACTTATCAGAGTAACTGAGCTGCAATATTCCTTGTATTGTTAAGTTTTTACAAATATTCGTGAGGTTCCCGATTGCCTTGAATTATTTTCAGGTGCTAGATTTGAGTGAAACTGTGTATTTTAACCCAGCAAAGTATGACTGTGAAAATTGTTCATGAAATTATTTGAGATAAATTATTGCTGAAGCTTCATCCGCCTCCAAAGTCCAAACTATAGAAACACTAAGGGGCTGTTTGGTTGTTGTTGGTAAAGTTGTGTATTTATGACACAACTTGGAAAGTTGTTGTCCACCTCATCAATTTTACTTACGTACTTTTCTTTGTTTGTTTTTTATTCCATTGGAATCATAAATTGCTTGTTTGGTTTGCAAATGTAACTTTAATTGTTTGTTTGGAAAGTGTAAAAAGTGGTCCCTACACAAATGATCATATTGGTTTGAATTATTTTTTATTATTTTTTCCTGATTTCAATGTTAGCTTTCTTCAAAAATCATGTTTTTTTTATGAAATTACTTTACAAGCCACATCAGCATATGAAATCACTTTACACTATTTTCACAACTACAAACAAACAATTGAAAGTGATGAAAGCTGACATTGGGACCCACTTTTTTACACTTTCCATCCTTTTACATGGTAAAAACATACAACCAAACAGCCCCTAAGCACGCTATTATCTACCACATCCAGCAGCGTCTACATCATCAATTCCGTCTTGGGCCAGTTTGGTAAATTGTATAGATTATTACGACTGGTTTCTCTCACCTCCTCCACCTAAAATTCAATCCTCTCACAAAATAGGGGACTGCTCTTATATACAAATTTATGTTTAGGCCCTACGGTTCGAATCTTAACGTGACCTAACCCTCTTGACTTTGGGGCATGTGCTTAGGCCTTTTGGCCCAACTTCTCATATGAAAAAAAAACCCTTCACATGACCTAACCCTCTTGACTTTGGGGCATATGCTTAGGCCTATTGATCTAACTTCTCATGTGAAAAAAAACCTAGTCAACCAATATTTACTCCCATTCCTAAAATACCAGTTGTCTTTTTCCTCATCTTTTTCTTCCTCCTCTTGCGTCTACTCCGCCTTCTTCCTTCTATTCTTTGTATCGCCTCCACTCTTCTTTTTGCTCCTCCATCCTATCTCCGCCCTCTTCTTTTCTTTGCCCATCATCCTCCCTCATTCTTTATCCTTTATCCAACTTTGTTCTCCTCCCTCCTTGCTCCTACATTTCAACTCCACTCTCGTCCCTCTTCTGGTCTCCACCTTCCTCTTTTCACCATTTTTTTTCTTCCACTCTCCTCTATCCCACCTTCACTTTCTTCCCCTCTCGTCCCCTTCCTCTTTCATTCTACTTCCACCATCCTCTCTCCTCCTCATTCCTTATCTCAATTTTCATCTTCGCATTCCACAACTATCAATGTATCACCCAGAGATAGCTTGAGGTAAAGAGCTATATATCATAAAGTCGCGTCAAAATTAATACTTAACAGTTAAAGTTAACACCTAAGTTTTACAATTAATATTCAACGGTTATTGTTGACATGATCTAAAGTTAATATCTAATTATTAAAGTTAACAAGTAAGGTCCAATATTGACTTTTGAGTTATAAAGTTAATATCTAACTTTAAAACTTTAGACCTCACATCTTAAGTTAAATCATTAGATATTGGCTTTAAACGTGGTAAATTAAAGGTTGCTCCTATAGAGGATAAAATGAGAGAAAATCGATTAGAGTGGTATGATCATGTACAATGTAGATATCTTAGTGCACTGGTTAGGAAATAATATTATAGTTAATGAAGCAAAGAGATCCAGATATGGACCTAGAAGGACTTGGTTGGAAATAATTAAGAATGATATTTTTATTTTTTATTTTTTTGAAAAGAAGAATGATATATTTATGGGTAGCTTAACAGAGAAAATGACACGTAGTAGAACGAAATGGAAGAATATGATTCATGTGGCCAACCACAAACACTTGAGATAGAGGTTTTGTTGTTGTTGTTGTTGTTATATTAACTTTAGACGTCACATGTCAAATCTAGACCTCACATGTTAACTTTAAATGTTAGATATTAAATGTAAAATTTAGATGTTAACTTTAACTATTAAGTATTAGCTTTCATGTGTTTTAGGAGATGATCGTTTTAGACAAAAGAGATGGTTTTTGAGTGATGTGATAATGATTGTGAGAGAAGAAAGAAAAAACGGTTTAGGAAATAATAAAAATGATACAGGAGAGGTGTAATGACGAAAAATATAATAGTTGAGAAATGGTAAGGAAAGAGAAGGGGATGTAATGGTGGAGGCGATGATGAAAACGAAAATGGTTGAGAAGAATGAGGAGGAACTATTCATGGGTTCATTGGAAAAATTTTGAAGGGTAGTGGGGAAGGAGGAGACGGAGAAAAATTATTCATGAGGTAAGATGAGATGTTGAGATTGATGGTAGATTAGGGATATTTTCTCTCTTTGTTGAGGTGGCAGTTTTGAATGACCTTTTCAACATGAGAGTTTGGGTGAAGAGGTCTAAGCTCATGACCCAAAGCTAGTGAAATGACTAAAATGACTCACATGAAGGTTCTAATTTTGGGGTCTACACATAAATTTTCCATTTATAAATGCATCTACAAACATGAGCTTGGCTACGGAG